GGGGGGGGGGAGGTGGAATGTGCATGGGAGATTAGACAAAACAATACTGTATAATAGTGAGAACCAAGGTTGTTTGTAATAAATGATGATAAGGCATGGTGGGATGAAGAATTGGGTGGAAAGCCAGCATTTCAAACTAATTGGAGAATGTGATTTATGACTGTTAGTTGTAGGAGGGAATTGTGCTTTGATACTATATGCTGAGGGGAGGGGAAGTCAGATTTTGGCTTGGACTATGTAAGTGCCGATATGTTGTTGCTCAAATAAAGATTCTTAAGGTAAACAATGCCTCAAAGTTCTTTGAAGAGTTTCATATGTCGGAACCATAATACTCTGGTTTCCGGCCAAAAAACATTGTAAAACACAATCATGTGACTATGGGCCACTTCAAATGGCCATGAGGTGGGACACTTGTTGAGAGAGGGCCCAGCTGTCAGAACTTTCACTCATAATCTGGGTCATAAGTACCATTTTTGGGGTCCATTATAACTTCAACTGCTCCTAAGTCGAGGGCTACTCGTAGTGCTTATGAATTATAGCATCACAATTGGGAAGCACAGCAGCCATCTAGCTCAACCCCCTGCTCGGTGGAATCTCCGTGACTGAAAACTATTATGGTGGAAATATCACTGGAATGATGCCAGCTGTTGCTCTAGTTTCCCAAGAGAGAAAGAAAAATCAAAGTTGTTCCTACAAAGGGACTGCAGGGAAGGAAAAGAATGTATGAAGGGCAGAGCCAGAGGAATCAAGAGAATCATAGAGTTGGAACGTCCCTCAGAGGCCATCCTTTCACTCAGTGCTGAATAGGGGTTTCTGGTGCTCTCTGCGATTAGTTGTTTTTTTGAAGACGTTTCATTACCCAAACTAGGTAACATCATCAGTGCTAGTAGGGAGTGGGGTTTGCTCTCAATGGATACTCAGAGGTTTGCCCTATCAGTGTTAGTGGGACTGGTCTTGGTGGGTTTGGGATTGACCTGTCTACTGTTGGCTTGTTTGATTGAGGTACTGTTCACTTCTTGATTATTGATCTGATGGTGTTAATCTTGGTGTTAATCTATGCTCATCTGGGTGTTGAGGAGATGTTTGGTCTTTTTGCCGCCTTTTTGGCCTATTGATTATCTCTTTTGCACAGTATGTAGACGTTATTTATGGCTATGTGTCTGTTGATAGCTGATTTGTCAGAATGCCAGAACAAAAGTCTGGTGATCATTTGTGAGGCAGAGAAATAATGGCCTTATGATCTTTGTCCTCCAAAGCTCTTATTCCCAAACTCATAATTTTGATTTTAACTTTCTGGCCAAAATGTATTCACAGCATTAGAACAGAGATGCTTCCAGATTACCACCATCCAGTTTCCCCCCAAAACCTTGCCAGATACCCTCTTCCCATGACTTACATGAGGTTTCGTTCCAGGCGACCTCTTTGGGAGCCGATAACCTCCCCCAAGGCCACAAAGGCCTGTCCTAAGAAGTCCTGTGGATGAGACCAAGAGAAAGCAGGAGAGGTGAATCCTGAGACAAAACCTAACAGGGGGAAAGGAAAGGAAAGGAAGGGAAGGGAAGGGAAGGGAAGGGAAGGGAAAGGAAAGGAAAGGAAAGGAAAGGAAAGGAAAGGGCAGCTTCCCACCACGACAAAGATTTGGTCATCCACTGTTTAGTTGGGGATGGTGATATCTCCGGTATGCTGCATTGACTGCAATCTGATTGTCCTGAGCAAGGCTTAGATTCTCCAAAAGCTTCAGGATGAGCAGGGACAGCATTAGCTGAAGACATGGTGTTACTTGCCCAAACTGAGCAGACCTCCGAGAGAGCAGGAAGGAAGCTCATCCAATATTTAGGAAGCCAGATCAATAGTGAGGGGCTTGCTTGGAATGCCTTCAGACTACACATGCAATTCAGACTACGTACATATGCAAGTATCCCGTATTCTGGGTTAGTGCAGCACATTAAGCCACCAAAAATCCTAACCCTAGTTTAATAGGGACCAAGCCTATCATGTTTTGGAAATGCATCCACCAGGGTTTAACCTGGTTAAATGGGCTGTGAAAACCTAACCCTTGAACAGACACCACACCCCTTAGAATGGTTTAATCTTTAGTCCCCTGTGCTCTCCAGTCTGGTCTGATCCAACCAGATAGTGCCATGTGATCCCTAGAGAGCTAGACACAACTTACCTTCTATAGGTTGGGTTGGATAAAGCAGCATGAAAAGAAAAGGACAGCGGAGTTAGTGGAGTTAGTGGCTTCTCACCCCACCTCAGCTGAGAAATCTCTCCTCTGGTTGAACAGGTCAGCATAATGCCATGTCCTACAGCAGAGCAAAGGTCCATCAGTTGTGTTTATTATTGTATTTATCTATGGCTGAGTGCAAAAGAATTGAGGCCTTTGAACTATGGTGCTGGAGAACACTCTTGCGAGTCCCCTGGACTGCAAGGCGATCAAACCGGTCAGTCCTAGAGGAGATCAACCCTGACTGCTCTTTAGAAGGCCAGATCCTGAAGTTGAAACTCAAGTACTTTGGCCACCTAATGAGAATGAAGGACTCACTGGAGAAGGGCCTAATGCTGGGAAAGATTGAGGGCAATAGAAGAAGGGGACGACAGAGAATGAGGTGGCTGGATGGAGTCACTGAAGCAGTAGGCATGAGCTTAAATGGACTCCAGAAGATGGCAGAGGACAGGAAGGCCTGGAGGAACGTGGTCCATGGGGTTGCAATGGGTCGGACACGACTTCACAACTAACAACAACAAATATATGTGATGATGTACAAAGGAAGAGGTGCCTTACTTATGGGCTTAGATCTAAAGGGAAACAACAGAGGGGAGGGAGAGGCAGGGGGTCCAGAGGAGGAAAATATGAGATTCATTCATTCCATTCACTTTAGTTAAGATAATTTGGAATTCGTTTGTTCGTTCGTTCATTCATTCATTCAGTTTGCTTTAGTGAAGCTATAGCTTGACACTAAGGATACTAATTTTCTTAGAAAAAAGAGCACTGTGCAAGATTTGAGGGTCATGATAAAAGTGGCTTTAACAAACTGTCCTTGGAGACAGTTATTCATAAGAGGTAACTGGAAAAGGATGGAGTTTAGAAAGAGACGCTGAAATGTACTACGGAAATCCTGTCCCTTTACGATAAGAGAGTATAATTTGCTTGGGGTTAAGGCTCTTATGCTGGCCTAATTATAAGATTAGAACTATAAATCAAAAAATTAATTTAACTGAAATCATTGGCCTGATTCTTCTCCATGTATTCTTTGTATTTCCTTGTCCTGGCTCCTACTATTGCAGGTACTGAATCTTCTGGGGAAGTGCCACAAGGGGGTACAGCATCACCAGAAAGGGCACGGCCAAAAATTGATAGCATGGTTTTTAGTTTGGGAAGGTTAAGGATGGGCATGGGAGCAGGAGGGATATGGATGAAGAACTGCTCCATGTTTAACCTTAAAACCACATCAAACTGTTTTTAAAAAAGGCAGATCAGAACTTACATTGTTGAAATTTAACATCAAAATAGCTGAATTTTGTTGGTGTTGGGAAATAGCCATCTAGGCAAGGAGGTCAAGCAGGGAGCTAGCCTTGAGTCTTTGTGCAGCCTCAAGAGACTTAGTGCTGAGCACTCCTAAGTTACATAGAGCTGTTTCTTCCCAAGGGAAGGCAAGCAATCTGTGGAGAAGCAACCTAGAACTAAGGAGAAACTTCCTGACAGTTAGAGCAATTAACCAGTGAAACAACCTGCCTCCAGAAGTTGTGAACCTCCAACACTGGAAGTTTTTAAGAAGAGACTGGACAGCCATTTGTCTGAAATAGTATAGGGTTTCCTGCCTGAACAGGGGGTTGGACTAGGTGACCTCCAAAGTCCCTTCCAACTCTGTTATTGTATTATTGTATTGTATTCTTGTACTATAGGTGGAGCACAATAAAGTGGTCAGCTTGTACCTTTCTGGAACTGTTTGCTTGTGCCTGACAGTTGGTCAGTTACATGATGCATTTGCATGTGTGTGTGTGTGTGTTTGATTTGCAATCACTGTTCTAGAAGCACATGCCAGTTGTCTGTTGAATGAATATGTTTTTAAAAGACAACTCAATTCTTTTCTTCCTTCTTACAACTACTGTGGACTTTCTTCCTTAATTTCCACTAATTAGTTAATTTAGATCCCATCTGAACACCCACCCACCCCCGCGTGGATGTACAATACAAGGAAATTCCCCCATGAATGTCTGGTTTGAGTGTAGGACAAGCAGCCACCATACTCACACTCTTGGGCAGGTTGCACGTCTTGGAATCCACATTGTAACTGGAAAAAAACATAAGGAAAATGCATTATCCTTTGGCCTTTGGTGCTTCCCAAAATTTAGCTGCTGCCCGAGACAGGAGCAACAAAGTCTGTCTGTAAAACACACAAGCCATGAAAAAAATAAAAGAAAACAAGGAAGGGGGGGATTATAGGAGAAAGGAGCAGAAGCAACTCACACATCAAAACGCAGGTTCTGCTTTTCCTCAAAATAATAGTCAAGTACAAACTTGCGGACAAAGTCAGGGTTCAGTGTGTTATCAATCACCTCTGTGCGGCCAAACTGGGGGGGTAGAAAGGCAAAGGCAGGTGGTTAATAAGGAATCAGCTCCTTATCCATTCCCCCTCCCCCGCCCCCATCTGCAGGCTAGGTAATCCCCATAGTTAGACAATCAGCTGCCACAGTCAGAAGAGGCTGGGAAATGGAGAGGGATGGCTAGATGCTGGCCTTCAACTTGCCCATCGCCTTCAACTCCAGTGGAGCATCCTATCCCATCTCCTGTGCTCAAATAGGATTCAGTTGGCTTCCTTTGCCTCATGCAAGGGGCCATTTCTCATTTCTGGTTGCACGAAGGTTGACCGGTTTCCTTCCCCATCCTCCTAATCCAAGGATTAAGGCCCAAAACGATTAATCACCAGAGAAGAGAGAGAGGAAGAGGACATATGTCCTGGAAGGCTCTGTATAACTGAGGCAGGGATGATAAGGCTTTTGAGGAGACTGTGGCCACGTGGCCCACAGAGAGCAAGGCTACGATTTGCAGAGGAGATATCTGCTCCTGTTAGCTGGGAACATATTTATCTGTTAGGAGCCAAGAAAATCATCTGCTAGGCAAAGCTGTAAAAAAGAATTATCTATCTGATGGAACTTTGGCCTCATCTCCCACTTCAGTAGAACAATTTAAAATCAGCAGTTCTGTCAAACGGCTTTGGGCTCTTGCGTTTATGAGTTATATTTTGCCACCCAGCTTCAAAGGTAGATACCCTGCCTTTTGTTCTTGACTTGCTTGTTTAGGTTGCAGTGATTGAGGGTATGCAAAATGTTCTGACACTGACTTTGTGTGTGTTTATGTGTGTGTTGTGTGCTGGAAGTTTTTAAGAAGAGACTGGACAGCCATTTGTCTGAAATGGTATAGGGTTTCCTGCCTGAGCAGGGGGTTGGACTAGATGACCTTCAAGGTCCCTTCCAACTTTACTATTATTATTATTATTATTATTATTATTATTATTATTATTA